TCACCAACTCAAGCATGCCTTGTTTGTCGTGCAAAGGCCTTCTTCTGCGGCTAGTACGTCGACGCTTTCTGGCCTCTGACACAAAATTGCACACTCCTCTGGACAGATGCCTGTCGCTATGGCACCTCATCCTGTCGGGAATCAGTTACATGATTGGAGCAGGTCTCTATGTGCTGACGGGAACTTTGATCCGAGATCATGCCGGACCGGCCACTTGTATCTCCTTCCTGTTGGCTTCCATTTCAGCCGTGTTCACGGCCATGTGCTATGCTGAGTTCTCCACTCTGGTCCCTCGTTCGGGCTCCTCCTATTCCTACACCTACCTCATGCTCGGTGAGCTGACAGCCTTCATGATCGGTTGGACGATGATCTCCGACCTACTCTTCTCCATTGCGGCCATCTCGAAGGCACTCAGCGGCACCATCAACTGGATGACGAGCGGTGCCATCGCCACTTGGCAGAATCAGACGCTCCCACATCTGGCCAAGTCGACGATGCTTGCGCCAACGCCCGATCTGGTGGCGGCCGGCTTCCTCCTCATCCTCTTCATCATCACCGCCTCGGGCACGCATCGCTCCATGACCTTCGGGGCCGTCGTCTCGGTGATCCAGTTGATCGCGCTGACGGTGATGGCGATCGCCTGTTTTGTCATCGGCTCCGTCAAGAATTGGACCGACTTTGGCGGTTTTATGCCATTCGGCCTGGCCGGGGTGTTGAACGGGTCTGGAATCGCCGTGTTCGCTTTCTCCGGCTTCGAGGCCGTCTCGAACGCGAGTGAAGAGGCGAAGAACCCCCGACGTGATCTGCCCATCGCGATGTTCGTCTCACTCGCCGTCGTCACTTTCATCTACCTCTTCTCCTCCCTTGGACTCTCCTTCCTCGTGCCCAAAGATATGATCGACTATAGCTCACCCTTTCCGGCCGGCTTCGAGTTGGCCGGGCAGACCGGCATGATGTGGTTTGCCGCCGTGGCCACCCTCCTGGCAACTGGTGCCACCAAGGTCGTCTCCATGTTCGTGATTCCGCGCATGTTCTACTCCATGGCTTCTGATGGTCTCATCTTTAAGTGCCTCAGTCTGCTGGAACCGCGGACAAGAGTGCCACTGCTCGGCCTCGTAGTCGGCACTCTTATCTCCATCCTTCTGGCGCTCTTCTTCAACGTGGAGACTCTGGCCGATTTCACGTCGATCGGCATCCTCTTCTGCTACTTCATCATAGGAGTAGATCTGCTGGTTCTGCGCTACATTTTCGTCGACAAGCAACATCTGCTGACCGCCTCCTCGGGCCCTGGCTCGTATGGAAGTGAGCTCGAGCTGGATTTGCATAAAAGCGAAAAAGCCAAGCTGCTTGACGACAGCACATCCCGATTGGGGCTTCTTCCAATTCGAACGTTTGCAAAGCCCCTCGTCCAGCTGCTGCCGTCCCTCGAGACCAACTTCGGTTTCAAGTTCATCCTAACTGCTTTTAGTCTGGCCCTACTCATCTTCTCCATCGGCTTGAATTACGCGCTCAAGCACTTTGTCGTCTGGTCCTATTGCCTGACGGCCATCTTTGGCGCCATCATGCTGGTCGCATTTCTTCTGCTCTGCATTTACAAGCCGAAAGTATATCCCAATTGTTATGAGGTATGTAGAGAATTGTTGAGCTTACTTCCATTTTGAGTGAAAGTGTTGGGTGAAGAGATTCGAAGTTCGGTTCCACCAGA